TTCGGCTCAGGTCATGATCCTGGAGTCCCTGGATCGAGTCCCGCATTGGGCTCCCTGCTCGGCAGGGAGTCTGCTTCTCCCTCTGACCCTCCCCGCTCTCATGTGCTCTCTCTCTCATTCTCTCTCTCAAATAAATAAATAAAATCTTTAAAAAAATAAAAAAACAAAAAAAGAAAAAAAGAAAAGGAATGGAAGGACCTGGAAACAGGCAGGATGACATGAGCCATGCTGTTGAAGCCCTCAATCCTAAGTCCAATTTGGCCTTCAAGGCCCACTTATCCCCTTGTGTAAGGCAAGCGACTTCTGTGCATTTATCCAAATGGATTCACATGTGTCTGTAAGGAGATAAAAGTACCGCAGACACTCAGGAGCCAGAAGCAACGTAAATTGTAAGTCGTTCTGTGCTCTGCACTTACCCCACCCCAGTGCCGGAAGGTAGAGGGCAGGTGTGGGCACAGGGGAGCTCCCCACTAGCACCCCGGCCCTTCAGCTGGCGGGGGAAAGAGGACAGCGGTGGCAGGGGCTGCAAGAACTCGGTGCCTCCTAGCCCGGGAGCATCCTCTGCCGAGGATGCTAAGTGGCACAGAGGAAATGAAACAAGGGAACCTCAGCAAAGGCCAGCCACCCCCTCCCTCTGTCAAGTCACACACGCTCCTGGGAAGGCTTGGGATGCAACGACAGGTCCCCTTCAACTCGTCTTTCCTAAAGAGCCAGGTGGCTACGAGATTTCATCTCCATGAACCAAAGACCAGGACAGATGTTCAAAATGTAAGTGAAAGTATCTGTGTTCCATGTCTAAATTCTCCTGAAACGTGGCTCTTCTTCCCCCTCCTTGGTATTTGTTATACGTATAAACACAGATCTGACATGCAGCAAAATTTAGAATCTCTAAGCCAAAAAATGATGCCCTGTACAAACTGACTTCCAGACATTAATAAAAACCGAGTGAAGCACTTTCATATACAGAGGCATGTGGGGACATCTGTGGACAGCGTGGTCCTTGATCGAACATGACACCTCACTGCACTGACTCCTCACCAAGCTCACACGGCTGCAGCCTTGACAATTTCCAGAACACACGTTTGTCAAACGTCACACCACACAGGAATACATATTCCTTCAATACATTATTCTTTTATCTTCTCTGCTCATTTAATCTACACAACAAAATAAGAACTGGTGATCATTTTTTAAATTGCCTGCAGTCAAAGCTTTAAGAACCCCAAGTAAGTAAACACCTCTCCTCCCACCTTTTTTGGGGAACTAGCACAGCTTCCCTCTGAGTTTTATCAAATTCTGGCTATTGAGAGGCAATGTAATGGGTTCTATTCTCATTAAGAACCTCTACTCCAAGACTTGGTTACTTCCACCCTTCAAGAACACGAAAGAACACGTAAAAGTCCACAGTTATGTCAGAAAAATTAGTAGAATAAGACATACCAATTTTCAAATGCTCATAACTCTTCCTGTCCAGTCAGCTCTTATTATTCTAAACACTCGTGCCCAGAAAGAAAAACCCAGAGAGCGACACTGCGTCTGTTGGATAAGGACTCACTTTGAGACAGTTTGGATGATGAAAACATCCTTTCCCCTCACGGATTCTTGAATCTGCACTCTTGTTTCTGGCAGGAAAAGGAAAAAAAAGGCGGGGGAGGGATGAAAAAGACATATAATTTATGTTTTTTAAAATACACAAAAAATCTGTTTCATCCCCAATGTTATAAAATATGGAAACTGGAACTGTTAAAGAAACTCATGAGGTTTTAGGTGCTGTAAAGGATAATGAACACACTGGCATTAATCACACTTTTTATTTTTTTGAGAGAGGGAGGGGAGGGACAGAGGGACAGGGAGAGAGAGGATCTGAAGCACGCTCCACGTCCAGCACAGAGCCTGACATAGGGCTCGATCTCATGACCCTGACATCATGACTTGAGCCAAAATCAAGAGTCAGACACTCAAACGAATGAACCATCCAGGCACCCCTAACCACACTTTTTAACATGTCAGGTTACGTTACGTGCTTCAAAAAGAATTCCGTTTCTGACTTGGAACAAGTAAATCTACCCTTCTTACTTCTCTCATATAGGGAGTGAGTGCTGTACCACGCTGAGCACATACTCATTCATAAAACCAGCACAATTAAGAACTTATTAGGCAGGATGCCTGGGTGGCTCAGTCAAGTGGTTAAGTGTCTGCCTTCGGCTCAGGTCAGGATCCCAGGGAGCCTGCTTTTCCCTCTGCCTGCCACTCCCCCCCTGCTTGTGCTCTCATGTGCGCTCTCTCTCTGACAAATAAAAAAATAAAATCTTTTTTTAAAAAAATAACTTATTAGGCAATGTTATAATAATGCTGTGAGAGTAAACATAAATAAGGTCCAACATCCCTACTCTCAAAAAATGTGTGATCAGCCACAATTAGACAAATGCAGAATGGGACATTTTTCAAAGTCAATGTCATGCGAAGAAAGAACTGTTCTAGATTAGGAGAAACTAAAGAGATAAAAAAAACATATTGCTTGAGCCAAGAATCCTGGTTTGAAAAAACAAAAAACAAAAACCCAGCTATAAAAGGCTCTCCAGAACAACTAGGGAAATTTGAATACAGACTAGATATTAGATAATTATAAAACAGTTGTTAATTTCTTTAAGTGTGACAACAATAGTGTACTCATGCAGGAGAACGTGGTTATTCTTGAGAAGCATGGTCAAGCATTCAGGGCTTGATGCCTGCTACTTACTTTCAAAAGGTTCCACACATACATATCTATATTGCAAAATCACACCTATTGAATCCAAGTAGCAGACATACATATGGATATTCACTGCACTATTCTCTCAACTTTTTTACAGGTCTGAACATTTTCATTCAAAATGTTGGAAAAAACAGAATACGTGTTTACCAAGGAATGCGGTACCAAGGAAAGAAAATGAGCTTTAGAGTCGGGGAGATCTGGGTTTGAATCCTGACTCTGCTACTTAGGGGACTTCGTACCTATTATCACCCCTGAGCGCAGTTCTTCAGTATCTGCTAACAGTGAGAAATCCACAAATGTCAGTTCCTGCCTTCCTTCCCAATAGACACCAAGTATTTTCTCTGCCTTCATTCATGAATGCGAAAGATGGACCAACCTACTCGTGGGCCTTCTGCTACCAGTTCTCCCTTACCCTCTCTTCCAGACTACACAAAGGATATCATGCAATCCCCTTTAGTGGCAGATTAAATCATTTGCAGTTTAGAAAGGTCCGAGCTCAGCACGGGGTCTGTTTGAGATTCTCCTTCTCCCTCTTCCCTTCCCACTTGTGCACTCTCTCTCTCTCTAAAATAAATAAATCTTAAAAAAAAAAAAAAAAAGGAATAACAACCAATTAATACTGTGGCCACATGGGGTTTTCTCGTTCTGCCCAAGGGGACATAAACTCAGACAACTGCTGAATTTCCATTCAGTGGACCAGTTGCATGCATCTCTGCGGTTTTTACTGGATGAGGTCTGAGAGCTGGAGTTCAAGCCCCACACACTCTATATCCACTTGGTATCAGTAAGAGCTAAAGCACCACTCTCACCACCTTGCCCACCCGACTTCGTGTGGAACTAACCGGCCACTGGGTCCAACTGTTTCAAGAGTGGAGGATGAGGGACTGAGCCAGCATGCCACATTCCACAAAAAGATCAATGTAACACACGTCCAAGATAGCTCACCTCTGTTAGGTTCCTGGTAAACCTGCACTTTGCCCATCTCCACCCCCAGCCGCCTAGAGAAGAGAAAGGGGGGAGGGGAGTTGAAAAGATAATACAGACATAATCCATCCAACATCTTTACAATTTGAGGATGCTTCAGAAATTCATAAAAAGAAGATAAAGCAAAATAAAATAGAGGCACTCTTATTATAAAATTGAAAGTGGATATGCTACTGTTCTGTCACTCCGTTACCTAACCCCCCACGGCCACCCCACGCCGACCCCAAGAAGGCCTCCGGAGTCCTGCTCAGCCTGCCTCATCGACCATTTCCCTGTGCCCTCTGTCCTCCAGCTGTGCCCCTGGTCTATACCAGCACCTCCTGCTGCACACCTCAGGGCCTTTGCACCTTCTGTCCCCTCTGCCTGGAGGGTTTCTCAAGTCACATACCATCCCCTAGGTTTAAAAGGCACCCAAGCCCCCAAGCTAAAGCAGAACAAACTGCCCAAACTGTTTCTTTCACACTGTTTTCTTCACACTATCACCCCCAGAAATTTTGTTTTGTTGACTTCCTTCTTGCCTGGCTCCACAACTAAATATAAAAAGGAAGGATCCTGACTGGTTTGTTCACCGTTAATCCCCAACATCTAGGATCAAGGCCTAGTACCCACCCAGGAGGGTGTTCAATCTTTATTGTTTTTTTTTAATGTAAATTTTGTTAGTTAACATACAGTGCAATATTGGTTTCTGGCAAAATTTTATTTAATAAATAACTAAGACTATACTGGACTGTAATCTAGATAAACTATTTTCATAAAGAATACACTCCACTGTTCTTTATAGTCAAGTAATTCTATACACAGGTGGCACCAAACAGAATCCCTGGCACTCATGAGGACTCAATAAATGTCTGTTTAACAAACATGTAGGGGGTTACGACAGTTTGACAAAAAGGTTAGCCCTTGGGGCGCCTGGGTGGCTCAGTCAGTTGGGCGGCTGCGTTCAGCTCAGGTCATGATCCCAGGGTCCTGGGATCGAGCCCCGCATCGGGCTCCCTGCTCAGCAGGAAGCCTGCTTCTCCCTCTGCCTGCCACTTCCCCTGCTTGTGCTCTCTCTCTGTCAAATAAATAAATAAAATATTTAACAAAAAGGTTAGCCCTTAATATATAGATGACACGCAGATTAACTACAAAATATCTGCTCTCGAGTTGAACAATCAGTGCTCTTGCAATCATCAAATTTAAAACATCACATAATGAATATGGATCTTAATGGTATGAGTATAACTCACTCGGCAATCTTCTTTGAGAGCTCCATACACGATGAATTAGAATTTGCTGAAAACAACACCAGACCTCCTTTGGTTATGTTCATCTTGGTTTCTAATTCAGGTGGCGCCACACAAAACATCAAAACCTTCTTGGTTTTCCAATTCTCAGAGCCTAGGAGGATTAAAAGTATATTAACAACTGCCAGAGAATATTAAATTCACCTGAATGAACTTTTATTTTTTTTAAATAGCAAATGACTTAAGCTGAAGGAGATTAGTGTTCACCATCATGGAGTCTCTTATGTTACATCTATGTATGGACAAATAAAAAGTTCATTTGGATTTTAGGGTTCCGAATTTATGGAAATATGTTATATGATTTAGTTAGTTTTCATGACCACTGGGAATAAATAATAAACTTACAAGAAAGGTGGAGCTGAAGAGCTCAGTGTTTTACTGTTTTGCTGCTTAAAGTCAATTATGGACAACCTCCTTTTATTCTCTGACAACAAAAGTCCTCCTGGATTAACACACAGAAAAATGGCAGAGCCATTAGCAAGGACACGGACTGATGGACCCTTAAATAATGAATAAATAACCCATCTATGACCATTATATTTTCCTATAATAACTATTTACCCCAAAGCCCTCCCCTGGCCTGTCAGCTGCCTAATGCCCTGAGCCACATCTAAGGCAGACCTTGCCACCTGCATTTTCCTGAACTGCAAGAAAAGGCCGACCAGAAAATAACCCTGAGGGGAAGTGAGCAGACCGCCCAACTGAAAGGCAGCAGGGCATAGACAGAAAAACCCCCGGCCTCAAAGTCACCAGAGGTGAGGTGGTCATCCCACATTCACGTGCCCTCCCACCTTCCCTTCTCTGGGCTGTGTCCTTATCACCCAAGGAAGGTGCAGGACTTAGGTGCCCCAGCAACAATCTCGAAGGCCACGGGGGCATGGGGGCACGTTCCCAGCAAGCACACTGTGCTTCCTCAGTTGCAGCTTTACTTGGGATGGCACCAGGGAAGGCCGGTGGAGATTACGAAAAGAGATGAAGCTGAGCGGCTCTTTTTTGCTGTTCTTCCATTTTAATTATAAGAGTAACACACAAACGCATTCTCCTTGGAAAAATCGGAACCAGGACCGTTTAAGCTAAAGTCACCAGGCCCCTTCCCACCCACCCTCCCAGAATGGACAGGTCTTATTAGTTTGATACGGACACCATCAGACCTTTACGCATTCACTCGTGGCCCTCATAAAAAGATAGGACAAAAATACATTTCTAACATTAAAAAAATCATCGTACAAATGTATCTATCATCCTTTTTGTTAAATGATATATTCTGACAACCCAGGGTTACAAAATATATGCCCATCTGGTCCTTTTTAACTGCTGCAAATACTCCATGGTACTTGAGCTGCCTCATTTAGCGGGTCACCATCCTAAACAGGCCTCCTAGTGCATGTGTGCATCTCTCTGCAGTAACTGCAAGAGAACCACTGGGGCCTGGGGATGGTGCAATTTACAGGTACGGCAGCACCAGCAGGCTAGGAAAGCCCGTTTCCCCACAGAGTGCCTCTTAAGGGAAATGTGGAGCAGGGCCATGAAATTTACCTACAGCCTGTGAATTACAAACAGAAACGCAGGCACAAATGGCCAAAGCCCTAAGGAGACCAAGGAGGACTGGTGGTGCCTACCATGGAAGGTGGCTCGGGAGCAGGGATTAGCCAACTACAGTCCACGGGCCAAACCAGGTCCCTCCTAATGCTATTTCTGTACATAAAACTGTATTGGAACACAGCCACGCTCACCGCCTACAAACTGTCTATGGCTACAATGATAGAGTTGAGTGCCGGCCATAAAGCCGAAAAAGAGCTGATCATCTGATCCTCTACAGAAAGTCGGCTGACCCCTGCTTTATGGCATAGTGTGGGGCAGAATGGCTGGTATATATGAAAGAACATTTGCAACACTCGAAGTTGTAAGAGATCTTAAGTATCTTCCAACACTGTCTCTCAACCAATATATGTGTGTTCAGGAACACAGGGTACACGTCTGGAAGAGGAAACTCATTTTCCTGTAGTTGTAAGTATAGGCTTTGGAGTCAAACTCATGTGTGCATCTTGCCTCCTACTTAGTTCCCTGCGAGGCCCTGCATAAATTAATCTCTCTTAGCCTCAGTTCCCTCATCCATACAATACATGAATATGGCCCCTACAGGGTCACTGTAAAATTAATTTCTGTACAGCACTTAACAAAGTGTCCCACACAGGGGATCTGCTTGGTAAATGGAAGCTACATAGGAATCAACTGTTAATATTTTGGTTTTCTCCTGAACAAGTACAGTAATACACATAGGGTGGTCCTCTTTTTATATCCCACAAACTTCAAATAAGAAGATTCCTAAAGTACCACAGTGTTCTTGAGAGGGCTTGGAACACTCAGAAGGAAAGCATCTGAGGGCAGAAAGAGCTCTTAGAGGTCAATCGGCCCATCTACAGGACTCCAAGAAACCACTCCAGGCGCTTGAAGAGCTCCAGAGACTGACGACCACATCCTGAGGGCCCATCCATTCCAAACTCTTTTTAGAACATGCTAAACTTCCTCTCCCTGCAGTCGCCACCCCTGGTCCTTGTCCTTCCCTTGATAATTTACAGCAAACATCAAATTCCTTCACCGCAGGGCAGTGCTCCACCTATCTCTAGATGGCTCTCTTAGCTCTGTGTATTCTCTTCTCCAAGCTACTTCCTGGAGCCTTTCCTTACTGGTCATAGTTTAAATGCCCTTCACCACTGACTGTGGCCTCTTAAGTCCCCGTCTTCAGGTACCAGGTTTCTGTAACTGAAACCTAACCTGAGACTACCCTCAGAGATGGTACCGGAAGGGGAGTCCATGTGGAAATGGTTATCGATACAGTCATGTTCTGTGACCATTCATTCTACAAGATGTTCAAACCTAAGGGCTGTTGCTAGCTTTGGTTCTCCTTTTCCCTACTGGAAATGGAAGTTGTGCTCTTTACCAAGCTTCAAGAAAAGTGAGTTTTAAAAGATTATCCTCAGAAACATAATCACCAGAATGGGGCTGGCAGGAGGCTCATTAGCACAAAGCTTCAGTGTGAAATGGAACCCACAAACTACAGTTGCTTTTACATTTATCCTAAATTTACTCTAGAATGTAAATGTGTGAGAATTATTTATACCACGTATGAAAACACACCCTTTTCAGAGACTCTCGGCCCCTCTCAAAAAGCAAATCCTACTCCTCTTTGAATGAGATTTGACAACCTATTAGGTCTCATGAATGAATCCACACTGAAAGACCACTTGCTTTGGCTGTTGCCAGCAGTCATTTCAAAACCACTTCTCCATATTTTGGATGAGGAAGGCTCGCATTACAGCGTGATGCTTTCCCTCCAAAGAGCCCACTGTACAAACACCTCCTATCTAAAGATGCTGGAGTAGGAGGGTGAAGTCTTGGGTCTGTCTTCCACAATCCCTAGCTACCAGTCCTTGGGTAGGTCCCTTGGCCAGGCCTATGCCTCTCCCTTCCTGACAAGAGAAATAGATGCTTAGTAAAATCAGCTTCCTCCACCAGAATTTAAGGTCCAGGACAGCAGAGATTTTTTTCTCACCATTATGTCCTCTGCTATACGACCAGAGCCTAGTACCTGGCACATCGAAGAAGCTCAATGATATTTGTCAAACAACAAATATTTGTTGAGTAAAGTCTGACCTGGTTGAGGTGCAATGATTAACAAATGGAACTAGAAGGCATCATAAAGTGCAAAGAATGATTATTTTTATTAGTGATGTCCCTCACTCAAAAAAAAAAAAAATGCTTTTTATATCAGTGCTGAAGAGAATTAGTAGGGCAAAAGCCTAAGCTGAATTAATCCTCTATGCTTCTGTGATCCCAGGCACGTTGCCCATCTCTCCATCAGCACGTTTTCTTACAGCAAACATCATTTTCTGAGTGCTTTGAATTCTTATGACAACTCAATAAAGTAGGCACCAGATGAGGACCCATTTTACACATGGGGAAATGAGGCTTTGAGATGAAGAAACGTGCTCAAGCCTGCATGGCCTCCAAGCAGCAGACATTAGCTCAGTTTCAGTCTGACTTGGAGCACAGACAGTTGTATGCACAGCTTGTCTCTCAACAGCACAGAAAATGACTGGACTCCCCTGCTGAATTTGGCATTACAGCGAGCAGGATCGGACAAACATCCAGATTTTGAAAAATGTCTACAGCAAACATGCTTGTTTAGGAAACAACTGATATCAAGTGTTAAAGAAAGAACACAACACAGAACTTTGATTCAGTATTTCCCCTTTTGGGAATTTATACCAAGGGGAAGAAAGAAAAAGCCATATATGCTCAATGATGGTCACTGCAAGATTTTTTTAAGAGCAACACTGGACATGTGGAAAGGATCCATAATGGGGTAATTAAGTAAAATTCTGAATATACATTCAACACAATAAAAACGGTAAATCTCCGGGACTATGCAGAAGTCCTTAGGTTAAGTAAAAGCAGAATTTCATTTCCTCTAATCAACACTGGGTGATAATGGTACAGACCAGGTCAGGATAGGAATACGGACAGGAATAAGGGTATGACTTAGTGGAGTTCAATAATGTGACTGAATTATTTTTATTTGCGCATTTAAACCTTTTTAACATTAGAAATCACACTTCCTCATGCCCCAAATCCCCATTCCGCATTTCCTTATTCTTTGTAAAAGCTAAACAACCTAAACTGCGCCAGTATCAAAATAAAGGGGGGAAAATCCTTATCATCAATGTAATATACTGGGGGAAAACATTTTATAGTAAAATAAGACCTAAACATGACATCAAGGTCCTCCCTCCTGGGTGAGTTCTGGGCGGAATAAAAAAAAAATTAAAATAAAAAATTAAAAACCGGCTATAGGGTAACAAATGTCTGCGACGAGCAAGGCCAGTCAACTTAACATCACGGGCCGTGTCAGATTAGGGGCCGGAGATGGCTGGGCTGGAGGCTTGTTTTCTGAGCCGCCCGGCCGCAGGTCCCATAATTAGGGCTCGACTCCCAACGGCGCCTGGAGCGGGGTAACCCCGGGGCCCGCGCGCCGGGCCCGAGCCCTGCGGACTCCGGACGGGAAAGGAGGGAGGGAGGAAGGGGGCGGCTGCGGGCGCGAGGCCGGGGTCGCCCCGCT